GGTCATCCTGAGTGCTGCCTCTGTGCTTCTGCCGTGCGCTGTGGAGAAGAAGGAGGGGCATCGGAAATATTAACTGAGAGAGCCTTAAGGAAGAAAAAGCAGACGCTGCTTCTTACTGCTGAAACTGGAAAATCGACCTCATTCACCTCAATCAACCCTCTAAGAGACAGAAAGTGGATGTGGAGAGATAAATCACACAGACTGACTGTATAAGCATAACTAAGTGACACAACAACACAAAACTGTAGGGTTGTTAAACTGTATATTCTTCAGTTAGAAAGAAACCAAAACAGCAGCCCAGTTCCAGCCTGGTCACTAACAAAAACCCACCTCACAGCCCCGGAGCCATTCCAGGCAGCAGGACACTCGGACTGGTGCGGCCACTCTTTGGTGTCCAGTTTGTTCTCCACGACATCCTGGAAGTAACGCATGTTTTAGAGATCATGTGACATGGAGAGCAAATCTGTTTTGCACGCCAGTAACAATTTTAAAGTGCAGTAACCTTCACTCGCTGAGGGGTCCTACCTACATTTAACTTATATGTCCAGTGGTCATTTTCTAAATGTTACGCAATGTGTATCTCTTTGACCATCATGCACATACTTCAGTTTTCTTTATATTTGGAACACAAGTTTCAGTCACTCTGTAAAACGATTTATTTTGTGGGTGACGTCACAACTTAAAAGCAGAAGTCGTGCCATTAACAGAGATAATTAACAGAAGAACACACGATGAGTAATTTTGGTGCCAAGGGAAGGTGTGATAATAGCGTAACTACATGATGCATTAGTAGATGTCAAAACACAGGCTACTGCTTGACAAACAATTTGCTTTCCTCAAACTCAAAGTCTCACTGTTTTTTGCATCATGCACCTTTATGCTTAGAAATACTTGAGACTAGCAGACGAGCTTTAAGTTATCTGCAGCAGATATTCAGCTCCCACACATCAAATCAATTTGTCTTCTGCTGCAAGAGGAAACATTTTAACCGCATTTGACAGGAAACCAGGTGCTCAGGTGAAGACAACTGATGTTTTTTTTTTTTTTTCATGTAATAACAGGAAATGCAAGTGAAGATGAGAAGAAACGAGCTCATGTTACAGATCCTTTTACTTGGAGTTAGATTCTAATCTAATATAAACTTATTTTCACAGTAACCTGTAAGATGATTACTAAAAAGCTCCTCTCAGTTTTGTTTGCTATTAGGAGCCTCCTCTTCATTGGATACACTCCATCTGATTAACAACATGGATTTACAGAACTGAGACCGAGTGAGGAGAAGAGTTTGGGGGAAAACTGCTAACGGGGGTATTTCCACCTCTCAGTTCCACACCCATTTCAGAGAAACGGCTTTGGCAGCTGAGTTTTAAGAGCAAGTATATATTTTCTTTTCATGATTTGTGGTTGACAGGTCACATGACTTTACCAAAGTGAAAACAAAGCACAGTGAAAAGGTACATTTAGAAAAGAAAACCAAAAACTGGCAGCACAGCGAATTTCACACAAAC